TAGAACATAATTAACCCAAACATAAATAATATAAAAAAAAATAATTTTGAAAAAGTGACATTTTTGTAAAGATTTTAAAAGTGTGACATTTTTGTAAAGTAACACTTGAAAAATGGCATTTTTTGACATTTCTCTAAATTATTTAACTATTTTATCAACATATCGGTCAAATTATATAAATTTTCAATTTGAACAATTGGTAGCAACCAAATGCAAAGAAATTAAAAGAGGAGTTAAAAATTTGGGAAAAGGAAAGCGAAAGCGAGGTACGAGGAGATACGACAGTTATGCTCACAAATGAGCCGTGATTATCTCCGGACTCTCCACCTTTCTCACTCTCTAATCTCTCGCCGGCGATTTATACTAAATACTTAAAAACCAAACCCTAGTTTCGCCGGAATTCTCTCAATCCCGTTGGAGGAGAAGCTTCTTCCCCTATACCATCTCCTTTACTCTCACACTGAGGCGATGTGGATTCCTCAATGTCGGAGATGACTGCTGCAGTTTCGCCTTCTTTCAAGCCTACAAGGCCTCCGTCGGAGTCAGCGTCAACGATAGATGCTCATCGCCGGCCTAAAACACGAGATGTTGCTTCACGATACCTCACCACCTCCTCTTTTTCGTCTTCTTCTCTCTTCCAATCATCACCTTCACCGTCGTCCTCGGCCAAGAGATGTCAATCGCCGATCGTTACCAGGACGAATCGACCGGCGACTCCTTCCGCTACTCATCGGACGCAATCAACAGGTCGGAGGGAGTTGGTTACGCCACGCCGTGACTCGTTAGATCGACGAGGTGGTGGAGAAGTTTCTTCAGCGCAGCGAATGTTGTTGACTTCTGGGAGAGGTTTGTTTGCGACGTTTCAGGCGGACTCATTCACACCGCTTGACTACAACAGATCGAAGATAAACTCATCGCCGACTGTTTCTGGGAGGAAGACGACTTCGACGGCAACACCTAGGAGTGGTGGTGCTCACCAAGAGAAGTCGAAGCTTTCTGAGCAATGGCCTAGGTCACTGCAACCTAGTTCTATGAGTAGAAGCGTAGACTTCACCGATACTAGGAAGAAACCGAGCGGATCTATCAATGGTGTAGCTAGAGCTCTACAGAATTCCATGGTAAGTAATAGACCAGTTTCTCGTGGAAGGATAAAGGCAGATTCATCTAGTGTAGATTCTTCCAAAGCTGGATCCTGTTCTCATATATCAGATACAGAGAGCGTTTCTTCTGTAAGCTCAAACGAAAGAGGGAAAAAGTTACCAGCTCGTGGCATTGTAGTTAATGCAAGATTTTCGCAATTGCCAAGTAATCGATCGCAGCATCACAATGTCGAGCCTGCCTCACCTGTTGCCAAGCTTAATGGACTGAGGACATTAGAATCTCCAAAGCTCATTGTTGTACCGAGGAAGAACTCTGTGGATAGTCCTGTATTGTCCCCCAAAGGAGTTGCCACAACGAGAAGTCAGTTGTTTCCAAAGCGTGAGCAGATTCGACCTGCTTCACCTAGCAATTATGGTATAAATGCGTCTGCTTCTAGTCCGAGAGGAACGAGCATTGCTAGGGGAATAAGTCCTTCGAGAGGCGTGATTCCTTCAAGAGGGATTAGTCCTTCTTCAGGCAGGATGAGTCCAATAAGAATGAGAACCTCGCTGAGTAGTAATAGCACGCCTTTGGTTCTGAATTTTGCTGTAGATGCTAAAAAAGACAAGATCAGAGAGAATGGGCTTGCTGATGCTCACTTGTTGAGGCTCTTTCACAATAGGTTGCTTAAGTGGCGTTTTGTTAATGCACGAGCAAATGCTGTTATCTCTGCGCAAAATATTAGAGTGGAGGTTAGCAATCCTTTTCTTCCTGAATTCTTGAGAACCTTGGTTATTGATGAGCACAATTAGTTTTGCATTTTAGCACTTAGTCACTAAGAGGGAATCACTGATGGTGTGAGAAAATTCGTTAGTTTCAATCAAAACAAACTTGTAGGACGTCTGTCTTGTGTTGAAACTTTGAGTTTATTATGTTGAGAGGCTTGTCTATGCCACCTATGTCCAAATGATCATATTTTAGATGCTTAATTTTCAATTGGTTGTCAATAAGAGCACCAAACTCTGATGGAGCCCTGTTTTCATTGCAGAGAAGCCTGTACAATGCATGGATAAGTATCTCTAAACTGTATGATTCTGCCAGAGTGAAAAGAATTGAAATGCAGCACCTGAAGCAGAATATGAAACTGATTTCTATTCTCAATAGGCAGGTAAGCTAATCCGCACATGAGTTACAATCTATCTTCTGGGTTTCGACTTTCTGTTGCTTTCTATGTTTTATATCTTACAGTTTTAAGAGTTTCTTCAAACTGAATCTTTCATAAAAAGAAAGTTATTTGCTATCCATGCATATAGATGGTACATCTAGAAGAGTGGGCTCTTGTGGAACGGGATTATATGGGTTCTTTAGTAGGAGCTGCTGAAGCATTGAAAGGCAGCACGCTTTTTCTACCTCTTGATTGCGGGGCAATGGTTTAGCTTTCAACTCAAAAGCTATTTTCTTAGCACTATAGTGGGAAAATGTATGCCATGCATGGTTGCTGATGATTATATCTTATGCAGGTAAATGTAGAAAGTGTTAAAGATGCCATTTGTTCAGCAGTTGATGTTATGCAGGCAATGGCATGTTCCATATGCTTGTTGCTTCCAAAGGTGATATCCCTCTTCTTTTCTCTCATTGTGTTCAGTTTTTTTCTTGTTTTCAATGCTTATTTTGGGTTCTGTCCTTGAATAATGGTAGCTCAGTGCTCACAACCTTCTAACTCCTAAAAGAAATTGTTAAGACAATGAAATGAGCTGAGAGTAAAGTATATCCGACGTACGAACATTGATAGTGAAGGCTTTTTGGGATATCCTTACTTGAAACTAGGCCAACTTTCATGAAAGAGAATTGATAACTGGTATACACTGAGTTGGTAGAACACAGTTATCCTGCTGTAGTCAAGCCAATATTATTTGATAAGTGACGTTTGTGAAAGCATGGCGAAAGAGAATCGCCCAATATCTCTGAGTTTAACTTAGAATACGAAGACCTTGCTCCATATTTAAGAGCTTTTTGCCGTCTGTACTTATATTGTATAATTTGTCATTCTTTATAAAAGGTGAAATCTATTTGTTTTCTCAGGTTGTGAGAATAAGTTGCTTGGCAGCAGAACTTGGCCATGTGAATGTCAAGGAGCAAGGGATGCTCGACTTGTGCAGGGACCTCCTAAACACAATCTCAGCTCTGCAGGTAGAATTATCAATTTCAAAATCGATTTTGGGCTCCATAAATAATTCCCAATTAGTGACTTTGGGTGATTTATCTTCAAATCCGCAGGTAACAGAATGCAGTTTGAGAACACAGGCTTTACAGCTACAATATCAGTCGCCAGAGTTATCTAACAACCCGTAAGTAAGAAAGCCACACACTCATTATGGGCAGTTTTTTTGGACTTATGAAGGAAATCATCTAATTCAAATAGGGAGACCAAATTACCTTTGATTCAGTTGTAAATATTTCAGGCTTTTTACTTTCGGCTGTGTTCTAATGAATCAATGTGAGGTTGACTAACTTTGAGACATTCTCTAGGGATGCAATCATAGATTCAAGTATGTCGCTGAGATATTGATCAGAGAAGAGAGAACCGTTGCAATTGATGATATTTTTTTCCGTCAATCCAAATCTTATAAGAAAATATATACTCGACAGCGAAGTTTTACTTTCTTATCACGTGCGTTTTATTAAATAAACAAGTTAGCTTTTGGCCTTGCGAAAATTCCATAAAAATACTCTGACTAAATTTCGATAAATCTTTTAATAGCCAAATTTTTTGAATTAAAAATTCCAATAAACTTTTTAATACCCAAACTTTCCGACTAAATACCCCAGAAAAATATATATTTTATATTTCAAAAACCAAAAATTAATACCCAAACTTTTAATAGCCCGGAAAAATATATATTATATATTTCAAAAACCAAAAATTATATAACTGTTGGTAGACTAATTTAGAACTCATCAAAATTATATAATTGTTGGTAGACTAATTTCGAACTCATCAAAATTATATAATTGTTGGTAGACTAATTTCGAACCAAAATGAAGTTTCATAACCATCTTCTTAAACTCATTAAAATCATTATCAGACATTTCAATAGCCATAACGTCTCATTTAACTTCTTAAACACGATTATGCACCATCTCCTTGAAGAGAAACATCTCGTCGGGAGAATAAAATATATTATGTACAATCATCTGAGGACTAACATATTCGCTATTATCCCGTTGTAACGTACATAAATTTGATTCTCTAATTCTTCAATTTTAGTTTTTAATGCACATAAATTTTCTATCATTACACAAATAAATATGTCATAATTTTTGGTACATTTCATAATTCTTCAAATTTTTGGTTCTAAAAGTTTGGGTATTAATTAAAAGCTTATTGAAATTTAGTCGGAGTATATTTATGGAATTTTCCCTTTAGCCTTTTACCAACTATAGAATCTTTCTTACATAAAGTGTATGTTGCTTGCAAGTTGAGCTTAGGGTGGGTTCTAAGGTAGCTAGGGATGTGTTGATAACACGATTTCTAACCCAAAAAATGACAAATGTTTACCTATTTAACAAATAATCCCATTAATTCCAGGGAAAGAGAAAACTAGTACCACGTACTTTGTTTGGGTAATCAAAATACGAAAGATTTGTTTAGGACCGTAAAAGAATCAACAAAACTGAAGAAGAGGAACGAATTGTAAATTGGTATTCACAGTAACCGATAAATTCCTAAAAACTCCAACTCATCTTTTTATCATCCTAAAGGGAGGCTTCTTCACCGGCATGGGACTCATCACTTGGTCGTCGGCGTTGACCGGAGATAACTCCTGTATCGGAGTTACGTTCAGGTCGAATCCACGGTGGCCGCTGACGTGGCTAGTAGACCCCACACCTTCCGAATTGGAAACGCTTCCTTCGTAGTGACACCGCTTGTGTCCGCCAAGAGCTTGTCCCGTTCCGAACGATTTCAGACAGATCGAGCAGACGTGCGATTTCACGGTGGTGGTCGGCTTACCATCATCTCCGCCGCCGGAGTATAGAGTTTGATTAAAGCTTTTCCGGTGACTCGCCTTGTGTCCACCGAGAGCTTGGTAAGACTGAAACGCCTTGTCACATACGCTACACTTGTAGATCGGTCTCTCAGCCCGATCGCCGTCACGAGCGAGAAGCATGAGACAGAAAGCGAGATACTCTTCCTCAGTGAGACTGTTGTTGTGGTGATGGTCAGATCTGGAGCGTTTGGATCGCTTGCCTTTGCCATGGAAACCTGCGGAGGAATCGTCAAAAGGAGTCGAAGCTAATAATCTCGGAGAATTAAGAGCTTCAAGAGCCATTTTTGTTGTTGTTTATATGTAACCGAAAGAGAAAGGAGAGAGTGTGAAGAAGATATGTAACAGAAAGGAATCTTGAAAGAGAGTTGTAGAGGAAGTTGCGTGAGAACAAGTGTTTAAAAGAGTGAGAGTGGGTGGCCAAATTGGCCTTCCATTTTTTTTTTTTTTTGCGTGTGCATTTAATTTTGAAACGAAAAATGTGTTGCGCAAGTTGTTGTAAGTTGTAAATAACTGTTTACAATTTGGTGAGAGTGGAATATGTGTAAACTTGGGAACGTTTGTGATTGAGATAAAGCCAACACAAGTCGGCTCTCAACTCTTCTTCTGAGATTAGCTTAGAGTTGACATTTGCACCCAACTAATGTCGGCTCTCAACTCTTCTTCTGAGATTAGCTTAGAGTTGACAGTTGACAGTAGCCAATGCTTCTTTAAATTTAATCCGAAATAATCATACTTATCTTTTAATTGAGTTTCTAACTTTAAGTTTCTTTGAAAGTAAAGAGCAATTACCCATCTTGACTGAAGTTAATAGAAACAAACTGTTTTACAGTATCTCCAAGCATAACAAAATTACAACATATATATTTGGCATAATTTTAACACTATTTGTTTTTCTTCTTCAACCACAACAATAAATATCACTCTA